GTTAGGGGGGGTGGGGGTAACGGCTAAAAGGGGAAGCCAGCCGCGTCAAACGAATGACGTAGAGCTTCTAACGCCCCGATAACGCCGCAGGGGGGTGGTGTTTAATGCCCCCTGGGCGTGAAACGCCACCTCACGCTGGTCGGCGTTAGATGCATTTCCAGTGCCCTTAGAGTCTATTTGGTGAGTTTTTGGAGATATGATAATATATGAGTTATGAAACCTCGGAGAAATGATATGTGTTTTGAATTATGAAACAAAGAGAGATTTAAAAAACATTATTTAATTAATGGTAAACGAGAGTGACCAGCAACGGGGGTGGTTGGCAGTGATAATAGTAGTCGGTGGCAGAGAATGATCAACAGTTGAGAGAGATATCAAACCCCCATATTGATATCTCCCAAGTTCAAGAGATATCAAAACTCTTAATTTTAAAAAGTTATGATATCTAGAGATAACGAATTCGGTATTTCTTTTGGCTATACCAAACATAAAAAAATTGATATCCGGAAATATGAAAACTCATATTAAGTATTTAAGTTTGCTCACCAAATACACCTTTAGTAAATTGGGAGCTTGGGAGACTGTTTCGTCCTCTCCCAATGCCGAACGGGGGCTTCAAGTGACGCGTGGCACCGGACGCCCCCACAGGAGGGGGTACAGAGCATGGATGTAAACAAATCAAATATTCTAAATTCGGTCCGTGATTCGTATTCGAATATGATGATTCGAATTTGAATTATTCAAATACAAGTTCAAATATTATTTTTGATTCGAATATTACACAAATACAAATATATATAGGGATATATTCGATTCGGATGATTTTCAAATATTCGAATATACTCTCTCCGTCTGGAAATGTTCTTTCCATTTGACTTTTTACGGTCTCCAACATTGTACTTTGACCACTAATATCTTTGTTTTCAATATCAATAGTCAAGCAAACTAATATAGTATAAAATGCATATAAATTACTAAGAGTTCGATAAATTAACGTAACAAGAAAATCAAAAGCATATAATTTTTAATTGTTATATTTTATAAAATATAATTTGTGTAAGATATAAATGTATTAATTAATGTTTTTAGATACAGAGTATAGTATAGTATAGTATAAAGAGTATAATCAGTTAAATTTTAAATCAATGTTGGTATATCATATAAATTACTCTCTCCGTCCCTAAATAAAGTTCCATTTTTAACTTTTTGAGAATTTAAGAGAGAGATATTTTTGTGTTGACTTTCCAAAAATACCCTTGATGTGATGTGTAAAAGTAAGATTTGATAGTTAGATTATTACTCCGGGGTAGTAAAAAAGTATTATGTGATAGGTAGAGTATGAAAAAGTAAGGGTTAAAAGAAGTTTTTTAGGGGAAAAGAGATTTTTATTTTGGGACAAAAAAAAACGAAAGAGAAACTTTATTTAAGGACGGAGAGAGTATATAGTATGATTATTCAAATATTCGTTTAGAATTCGTTAACTATTCAAATATTAATCAAATACATATTCAAATTTTATTTTGAATTTGTCTCATATTTGGTTTTAGATTTGTTTTCAAAAAAATTAAACAAATATAAATACAAATACTCCAGAGTATATCGGTAATCTATTGGATTCAATAGGCCTTGTACCAAGATAGTACTCCGTCTCTCCGTGTATATCATTCTTAAATGCACCGAAAAAAAAAAAAGCTGAAATACGTTTCCAGTGTACTTGTCTGACCTGACCGCCATTGTTGCTCCCCAAGCAGTTCTGCTAATCATAAATTATCTATTATTACCCCGTAATTGATAATATTCTTAATAAAAGGAAACTTCTCCCTGCTCCCCTCCACCACTTTCAGCTCTGATTTCTGGAAAATGTGAGGGTGTCTATCTTATCGACCCAATTTTCAAAGCTTACGGATCAGCGCATTTAGGGTCCGAATTCGAAGGGTTTGGGAATGGATTCGGTTCAAGGTGCCGAGGGTAGATCCACCGTTTGCGAAACAACCGAACCCGGAGGAGATGCTGGCCACGCCCACCACCAGTTCGGCGGCGTAGTGGCCGCGCCGCCGGAATCCGGATTCACTGCGCTGCTAGAACTCCCGCCTTCGCAGGCGGTGGAGCTCTTGGCGAACTCGCCGTCCACCAAACTCCCAGAAATTGAACATCCCAGAAGTCTATATCCCGGTTTTCCTCCTCCGCCGCCGCCTATTTTCCCTTCCGACTTGGCTCTGATCGAACGGGCGTCGAAGTTTTCCCCGTTCGCCGGGAATGCCCCTGAAAATCTGTCTTATTCCGGCCCGAAACCCTACTTCGTGAAGCAGGAGCCATTGGGTTGGGACTCAACCCTGATTTCAAACCAGACGGCCAATCCGAAATCAACCAAGCGAAAGGAAAGGGATATAAAGGTAATGCAAATTAGAAATAAATTTCTCATTTTTTCATCGTAAATTTGTTCTAAATTAACTAGAAACAGGTTGAAGATTCTGGCAAGAAGGGCAAGAAATCTGCTACGAATACCTCGGGGAACGAGGCCGATGGGTCCCAGTATGTTCACGTCCGAGCTCGCCGCGGTCAAGCCACCAATAGCCACAGCTTAGCTGAGAGAGTAATGCTGTGCTAATCTCATGATTAAGTATTATGTTCATAATATAAAGCTCCTCAGGGTGGTTTTCTTTTATGGTTAATTGATACTTAAGGAGTGTAGTTTAAGCCACTGATTAGGAGGTTTGGCTCTGTTTGATTAGGCTAGAAGAGAGAAGATTAATGAGAAGATGAAACTTTTGCAAGAGCTTGTCCCAGGTTGTAACAAGGTGAGAAACTTCTGTGTTTCTGTTACTAATAATAATTGTATTATTATTATTCGGTCCGGTTTCAGTGACACCGGAAAACGGTGCCACTCCGGGAATGCATAATAGCCACACATTTTGTAGGGGGGTTATGGCGGGG